TTAATACATCAAAGAGCAAGATGAATTTAAGGCAGGCTAATTGAACAAAGCTATAATTTTCTCATAGGTTTGTTTCCAAAAAAAGTCAATCCTTACTTAGCGACTCCAGCAAGTTCCTTGATGTTTTCAACCTGGCGAGCTAAATCAGCAAATCCGCTCGGCTCTATTGCACTGTCAATACACCAGCGCCAAAGTGCCTAATATAAATATCTCAAGAAAATCAATCAGCTATAGAATACATTTCGAAAAAAAAACGTAAATATGTGGAAGAAACTCACGTATACAAGTCGAAAATCACGATCATCAGCGAGCAACGACGACAGAAATGAGTCTCCCTGAACCAAGAAAGTTTGATAAAATTCTCACTAGTTCAGATGAATTTGAAAGGAGATAAAGAAAGCAACAAACTCCTCTATCATATTCCTGCAAGATGGTATTTTCAATTACGCAAGCACATATACAGCGATAAGCATCAGACGCATGCCTTTGTTCTTCACTGGGAGCTTCTGTGCCGAACTTACCAAGAGCATTACGGTAATCGTGAAGTATCTGAAGGAGGAACTATGCTGACTATACAATACTTCAAAGCTAACATTTATACAAGTTCATAAGGGAGCAAATCCAAAAAGTTTCTGGAAAAAGGTAAAAATTCAATCAAAGCAGCTTTTAATCAAAATAATGCAAAACAGAGCAGAGCCATAAATTGAAAAAAAAACAGGAAAGAAGAGAGAGTGGAAATAAATTCAAAAAAAGGAGATAAAAAACCAACCTTCTCCAAAACTTCCCAGATGTCAAACTCCTCCTCGGAGAGACGGCAGAGCGCTGTATGCAAGTCCTCGTACAGCGCCTTGTCAACTGAATGAATTTCATTCATATAAACATGTACTAAAAGATAAATGAAAGTAAGTCCTTTTAAATAGTTGTCATGACTACATGTTGGAAGTGATCTGATAAAACGCAAGTAAAATTTCAACTTTGGAATAAAAAAGTTTTTCGCTTTCAAAACGAAAAAGACAATGAGTATTCAAAAATTGAAGGGCAAAGTAGTTAAAACAACTTTATGATAATGAACTTACGCTCATTAAAAGTGCATTCATCAAAGTCAGGGCGCTGAACAGGAACGACAGGAACCTGTCGACGTTGTTGTTGTTGTTGTTGTTGTTGTTGCTTAGCCACCCTCATCCGTCTAATGCTAGATTCCCTGAAAGGGATGCGCGAATAGATTTTTTAAAGAATGATGATCTTATGCATCAGCAGGAATATAAAATAAGCAGTAATATCAAGAGAAAAGATAGATAAAAGTAGTACCAGCTGTGTACCAACTTGATCTAATTTAGAAAGCAGAACATTGCGAAGTATGCCAGTCACAAATAAGTCTTGAATCAATCTTAAAAGCTAATCATGATCTCAGTTGTCCAGCATTGTTCAGCAAAGATAATGAAAAGAATAATAAAATTAAACTTATCCTATTATCACGGCTCAATTT